AGAACAAAATTTCGGTTCTCGAACAACATTACTGAACCGAGTTAAACCGAACGGAATAATTTCTGAGTCGACCGACGTGTTGTATACTTTCGTGTGTTGTGTTGTGCATTTTTTCCTCAATTTTATTGTACTGTGACATTTTTTTCTTAACATTGATTCCTATTGGAAAAATAGTTTCCATTTACGAGCATTTCGGGTTAAGAACGGCCTTCAGGAACGAATTAAATTCGTGAACCGAGGTTCCTCTGTACACATTTTTGAGAAACGTTTAGTCATCTGAAAGTCAGAGAGTTTGTGTTAAATTTTGTGCATTTTATGGTATTTTAGGCTCAAGTGGTGAACCGCCATAAGTGTTTCGGATTTATTTTTTTTGAAGACATGGAAAGGTTTTATATATACAGTGTAACCCGGATATAAGAGACCCGGATATAAGAGAAACCCGGAAATAAGAGAGATTTTCTCTGGTCCCAAATTAGAGCCTGTGTTAATGTATATAAAATAGACCAAACCCGGATATAAGAGAAACCCGGATATAAGAAATTTCTTCTCCGGTCCCGACAACTCTCTTATATCCGGGTTACTATATATATATATATATATATATATATATATATATATATATATATATATATATATATATATATATATATATATATATATATATATATATATATAACGAGAAACAACTTTCTTACCTATGTCAAATTTTAGATGGAGCCGATATCATGGTCACTTTTTCGATAAAAATGCAACGCTATTAGCGAATTGCGGTAGAAAAGAATAGGCAGGAGACAAGGATGTGCCTTTGATGAAAACGGACCGAATATAGCAGCCGCATTTCAAAGGACGGACCAACCGTAGGTCATAAATCGGACCTGACAGATACAAGGCATATTCCTACACCAGAAAATTTCACACCAAGAACATACAAGTGAACTTTATAACACAAAACCCCTTCAAGATATTCTGTTTGTGTAAACTGTAAAGAACAGAATTGGGTGCTACTTGAAAAATTTCTGCTTTGTGCCACTTCGTTATTCCTTTCTCCAAGTTTCTCTTGTTTTCTGTATTTTTTATGGGATTAATTTTTGTGTATGAATCCGTTTCTTATCAAATTGTGACATATTTTTTGTATGTGAATCCGTTTCGTATCTAACAAATACTATCACATTTTTTCTTGTTTCTATGGGTAATCTATTTTTTTTGTTACCTCAGGAAAGTGTTATCCTACCCAAAGAGGCGTACAAAAGGAAAATTTTTTTGAAACCCTTGTTTTGTGCTTTTCGAATTTATAAATTGTAAATAAATGTGTTGTTTGAAATTTTACGCAGTGGTCGTCTTGTTTCTTAAGTTGTGCCTATTTCCGAAAGTTGCTGTTTCTACCAACAAAGTTTTATGTCTGGCATAAGAATTTGCAGCTGGTAGAAAAGTAAAATTTTATATAATTTTCATGGGGTCGTAGATCTTATCTGAACGAAACCAGCTTTGCTTTAGCGTAAAGTCATGTTAATGGAGCACTTAGCGAAGAACGAATTTACGAGCAATGTCTTGCGAGATTATCTCGTTGTTAGTCGTTGAAGATAATTTATTCAATAGTCTTAACCTTGTCTGGCACAAGGCAAACAATTTTGAGAAACCTAGTAATGATTGAACTCATTTCACAGTATTAATGGTTGCTAGACTAGCTCTTTTACTGCACATCGAGGAGCCCTTCTAAGAATTATATAGATTTTTATTAGGATACTTCCCTTGGCGTTGTGGTTAACAAGCTAGTCTCAAAGATAATTACTTCTATAGTGATTTCGATAAGTATAAGCTTAATATTGTCTGGCACAAGGCCACTAATATTAAGCACCTAGTATTGTTTAAACTACCTACAGGGTATGGTATTTACTAAGTATGGTTTAGTATAGTATGTTACAAGGCCAGATAAAGTTAAGTGGGAGTAGGGAGTTTATTTGCGCCAATTTTCCAAATGTGAAAGGCATATCTATTTTAAAAATCAATATTTAAAAACCTGACTTTTACCTGGTCTCAAACACCTGTCAAAGGGCGAATGAACCTTCTTGCAGGGCCAATCGCCATCTAGCACAATATTATATTGGGCTCCGTAGCTATCTATGCCTCCATTGCAGTGATGACACGGCAACACTAAGCAAAGGGTTTCCTAGACTGAAGTCAATGACCAAGGTGTGTATGTGGGGGGGTGTCTCTAGATGGAATCAACAGCCATATGCTCGTGACCAAGGCAAGCCATCAAGTTGGAAACTATCGATTTCGATTTGACTTGGGCTCCGACAGGTCTGTTTGCCTGAGACATACCATGCATAAATGATTACCTCTTCGGCTTTCAATTCAGATATTTGGTAGGATCACAGCTGATCATCTGGTCAGGTGCTCAGCTGCGCATCGACTCTAAAACCGCATCCGGTCATGGGACTGATGATGGTAAGATGATGAAACACTGGCCACTAAACACCAACAAAGGAATACACAATTACTTCAGCCATCAGTCATGCCAAGTAGATGAGGTAATATAATTTTTTTTTTGGAAAGGTGCCTTCTCCCGCGAGAATATATTTTTAACCAGTGTTCTACATGTGTTTGCTAGCTGTTCGAATTTAGATAAAGGTCAAATGATTTTTAGAATTTCGAAGGAATTTTCAAGTTATTTATTGTTACCTCGAATATTGGGCGCAAGTCTGTCTTCCTGTACTAATTGCAAACTAATCTAGCTATCTAATGAGACTGGTTACTGATGGTGCAGAAAGTGTAATCGGCGATCCGGGTTCAAATTCCGTCATTGTCTTTGCATTCAATTTCGCAAGTGTTCATGTGAAATATATGAACCCATCTCTTCTACGAGCTACAGTTTAAATAGTAAGGTTAAATGAGCTTTCTAGACTTTTTTTTACATTGAGGGTCACTCTCTACAAGGCCTGGGGGCCACTCGAGGTAGAGGGTTACGTTAGGAGGCCATTTGTGTGTATATGTGAGGGAGATAACGATTAACACTAGCCTTGAATAGGTTAAGATTGTAGTGATTGGGGAAACATCCTGCAGGGAGTCGATTACACAGGGCGAAGATAAAATAAAGGGTGTTTGATGATAAAACAGGTTTTGGAAGTAACTCAAAATCAGCCTATTAATATTTGCAATTGTTTATTACCAGAAGCCTTCACGAAATCCAACTTAGTTTTAAACGAAGTACTTATTTTGTTAGCTTTTAATTCTCTTAGAACTTTTGCCAATCACCTAGGTCAAATGATTACGAGAAAGCTGATGACTTTTCAGAAAGTTCAAGAGGAACTCGTTATTTCCTGTTCCATATATTAAAAAAAAAACAAACAACCAAAAAAACAAGCAGTTTTTCGTCTACGTATGCGACATCAATGTAATAATCAATTTCTTCACTAATGAATTAATTTTCAAAATAAAAAAAAATAGTGTAAAATTTATGTTCGTGCACAGCTCGGATGATGGAAAAAACTCACGTCGAAAAGTTAAGAAAATCCGAAAAAGTCACGTATATGAATCAATTAGGTTCAATCAATAACAATATGCACAATTCTTTTCTAAGCGAAATGCTCATCTATAAAAATGTTGATATTGTGAGACACCATTTTTACACACCACTGGCACGAATAAAGTAAAGAACTAATATTACAGATTCTTATAATTTTCCTATAGAAATAAAAATCGAATTTGAGCGTATATTTAAAGAAAAGAAAATTAGTTCTATATTTATTTATTTCGACTTTATGGAACAAAAAAAGCAAAGATTTACATGAAAACAATGAATTATATTTGCGTAGTTTATATGCCAAGATCTTTCAAGACATGGGCAACCATGGCCCTTCACAATTTATTTTTCACAACTAGCATTTTTTTTAAATGTTTTGAGTAACTTTTAATAAGTTATCATCTTTCTATTTCCTTGTCACGTAAATATTAGATTGAATCATAACTAATTTCCGCCTTTTCTTTATCTGCTTTCTTAGTTTTGAAAAAAAGAAAAAAATTACAATTGCATTTAAGTGAACTATATATTTACTGTTATTTCCAGTGACTTGTTTGGCAGTTCTTCGATACCATTTGATTAAAATCCTGCATGTTTTGACGTGAAAAGTCAGTTGGCGAACTCTTGAATCTGCTTTTCACTGGATAAAGTTTTCCTCATCAAAGCGATAATAATCGGCTGATGAAAGGTCAGATGAATTTGGCAGATAGGGTAGAACAGACCAGCCGAGTTCCATAATTTTTCCGGTGTTAATTATATGTGGCCTTGCGTTTACATGGAGGATAAAAACTTTTTTTTCTTTTATCCACTGTTTACGCTGCCAATGCAGTGCAAAAACTAAGGCGTGTTAGTATACTCTTTTATTGTTAAGGATGACACATTACAACTGGTTTCCCATAACGGAAATTACTAATAACTCAACCTAATAGAAAAGCAGAATCTAAGATGCCTTTCATGGCTTAGGGCAAATTTTCAAAATATTACAAATGAAGAAAATGTTTTCTCTCTCACCGTTACCGATCATCTTAAGATAATTGCCTTAGTAGAATGATTATTATTAGACCATCGTATGGGACGCGGGCTATGGAGGTGTGACCTAGAGGTGCTGGTAAGGAATTCTCGTCTTTTGGTAGAGGGTTGAGCACAAAAGAGAACAGTTTGAAGATTGTTAACTTCATAAAATATGAATCAAACTGGTTAACCTCATTAAATAAACAAATCCCATAATGCAATTCGATAGCAAATCCCGACACCCATTGCAATAATGGCGGGTGACTGGTTAATTTGGATCCGCTCTGCGTGAATGATAATGATTCCTCACTCAGAACTCAACATCTCTAATCATAAAACAACGTTAACTAAGACACGTGATATGGTGACTTTATGGTTAGAGCAACTGAATGCGGCTTATGGGTAGAGAGTTCAATCCTCCATGTTGGATGGTCGGCTATTTTAGAGCTACTGATTAAATTCAAAAGGCATACGGCCATGTCATGTTGAAACTTCGGTTCTCGTCCGATAACCAAACTTAAGCAACGTCAAGCCTGGTCAGTACCTAGATGGGTGACCGCCTGGGAATACCCGGGGTTTAGATGTGAGGGTGGGTTAATTTATAACGGTTCGTAATCAGAAAACGGATAGCAAAATTCTAATTCTAATTGGGTTCGTTAAACTCACTTACACGCAAATACGATTGGGCGATCATGAGTCGGAAAGAAACATGATCACCCAAGCGTGCTTCAGAGGCCTTTACCAACATGCATTGGACCGCGCGGGTGAGTAATGTCCCATTCCTGCAACGGCCTGCAACCAACATAGAAACTTCACAGGTTGGGAAGAGAGAGACATTATCAAAATCAAAGCAACTCCATTTTTCGTGTTTAGACGTGTTTTCGCTAAAAAGATAACGAGCAAATAGTCATTATTCGCATCCAATTTGTAATGATAATTATCGGAGAGAGGACGTTTTAGATAGAATGTGAACATAAGACTCAACAGTGTATGATAAGAGTCATTTTCACATCTCAAGTGATTTTTTTCAGATCATTTGTCATTATATCTTGTGCGGGCTTTATATATAGGTCACTTGTGGATTATGGAATGTGGGGGAAGGAGAAAATCACCCCTTCTCAGTACTTTTTTTTGTTTAGGGCCAATGTTTTAGGTTATTTCTATTTCTGACCTTTACTTTTCTTAATTATTTAGCCTATCCATTTTATTTTATTTGTTCATTTATTTTAAATTGATTATTTAATTAATTTATTTATTGCACATTTTCTTCTTTAGGTTATGGGATATTATAGAGTCTTTTGGGTAGTAATATGTTTGGAGGTAGCGTTGTAGGAATTTATTTTTGTTCTTGAATTCCGAAATGAGCTCTGATCCTTTGTTCAAAGTAGAATGCAATAGTGTTATAAAAACCACGGAGAATTCCAGTAAGATATCTTTAATCATTTTTAAGATACAACGGTACAAATCTTAATCTAACAATTGGATAATTTTGCTATTACACTATTTGGACAATTTTGCTGTTACACACACTCTGTGTGTGTGTGTGTGTGTGTGTGTGTGTGTGTGTGTGTGTGTGTGTGTGTATGTATATATATATATATATATATATAGTTAGTTTATGCAAACTTAGATAATCCGTATGGGTAGTTCAACGCCCGGATTATCTAAATTATTATTTTTTCTCTAACGTAGAGTCAAAAACATATTTTTATTATGAGAGAAAAAGGAAAAACTAACGTTTTTTGTTTTTAAGAGCGGAGATCAAAAATAGAATTTATTTAATTTTTCCTGATATTTGACTTGGTAGACTCGGCTTAGGAGAAGTAAAAAGGTCAGGTTTTTTGCCTTGTCTAATTAAGAATCGTGTAAAATTGCAACCGAATCTATGAGGTAATACCAAACATGATCATGAAAAAAAATTAACGTAGCAACTAGTTTTCACAGATATGTATGTATGTGTGTGTGTGTGTGTGTGTGTGTGTGTGTGTGTGTGTGTGTGTGTGTGTGTGTGTGTGTGTGTATAATACGTTAAAAGAGTTCATTTCACTGCCGTGCGCCGGTAGCTTAGTGCTAGAGTCTCTGACTGACGCCAAATTGGCCGAGTTTCGATGCCGGTTTGAGGCAATCGGATGTCTAGCTACACTGACGATCTGTGATAGAGCGAAAGAGTCTGTTTATGGATATATATATATATCTATATATATATATATATTAAGCAATACCGACAAGATCTATCTGTTCAATTTATTATTAAGTTTTTAAAACTTTCGAATAAGTTGTTTTTATGCCAGAATTAGAATTGGTAAACTTTCCTCGTTCATTTTTACGCGGAAGTGAGAAGTGCGAAAACCGCATGAACACACAGATCTTGTGGGTATTGTTTAATAAAAGTTCTTGCTGCCTAAATATACCATATATATATATATATATATATATATATATATATATATATATATATATAAATATATATAAAGAAAGAACAGTAAGATATATAATCCGGTGTTCTTATTGATATTTTTTATTTTATTTATATGTAGTTTATACACAAGCCATGAGTTCAAAAAGCGGTTCAATCAACATCAAACTTCATTTACGATAAATAAATACAGAAATCAGACATCGCTTTCAAAGTATTTCTGGCACTTAAAAGAATCAAATAAAACACCGACAGTAAAATTGAAATTAATAAGAAAAGCTAGAATATGTAGGTCATTAAGTGACCCATGTCCTTTGTGCATACATGAGAAACTATATATTACTAAGTTTATAAAAAATAAAAATTTACTGAATCAGAGAAATGAAATAGATATTTTTTTTGCCGTCATTGTCAAAAATTTTCCTTAAATAATATTTAAAAATGAAATTAAAAAAATGGGAGCTGGTAATATACATACTTATATTTGATAAGAAAAAAATTAAAAATAATATAAGTAATTCTATTGCATTTACTTGTTTTTAAAAAGAAATACAGTCTATTAGTAATTAAGAGTAAAAATATTTAAAATTGTAGTTAAATAAAACGTATTCTAATACAAACAAACCAAAAAAGGATCTTTAAGTATACAAGTAAGAAAAAA